ACAATTGCTACAAAGATAATAAAATATCTAGGAATACAACTAACAAAGGAGGTGAAAGATCTCTTCAAGGAGAACTACAAACCACTGATCAAGGAAATAAGAGAGGACACAAACAGATAGAAAAACATTCCATGCTCATGCTTAGAAAGAATCAATATTGTGAAAATGGCCATACTGCCCAAAGTAATTTATAGATTCAATGCTATCTCCATCAAGCTACAATTGACCTTGTTCACGGAACTGGAGAAAAACATTTTAAACTTCATATGGAACCAAAAGAGAGCCTGCGTAGCCAAGACAATCCTAAGCAAAAAGAACAAAGCTGGAGACATCACACTACCTGACTTCAAACTATACTACAAGCCTACAGTAATCAAAGCAGCATGGTTCTAGTATCATAACAGAGATATAGACCAATGGAACATAACAGAGGCCTCAGAAGCAATGCCACACATCTACAACCACCTGATCTTTGACAAACCGGACAAAAAAAAAAGCAATGGGGAAAGGATTCCCTGTTTAACAAATGGTGTTGGGAAAACTGGCTAGCCATATGCAGGAAGCTAAAACTGGACCCCTTCCTTATACCTTATACAAAAAAATAACTCCAGATGGATTAAAGATTTAAACATAAGAACTAACACCATAAAAACCCTAGAATAAAATCTAAGAAAACCATTCAGGACATAGGCACAGGCAAGGACTTCATGACTAAAACACCAAAAGCAATGGCAACAAAAGCCAAAATAGACAAATGGGACCTAACTAAACTTAAGAGCCTCTTTACAGCAAAAGAAACAATCATTACAGTGAACTGCAACAAACAGAATGGGAAAAAATTTTCATAATCTATCCATCAGACAAAGGGCTAATATCCAGAATCTACAAAGATCTAAAGCAGATAGATTTACAGGAAAAAAAACAAACCCATTCAAAAGTGGGCGAAGGATATTAACAGACACTTTTCAGAAGAAGACATATACACAGCCAACAAATATATGAAAAAATGCTCATCATCACTGGTCATTAGAGAAATGCAAATCAAAACAACATTGAGATACAATCTCACGACAGAATGGCGATCACTAAAAAATCTGGAGACAACATGCTGGAGAGGATGTGGAGAAAAAGAAACACTTTTACACTGCTGGTGGGAGCATAAATTAGTTTAACCATTGTGGAAGACAGTGTGGCAATTCCTCAAGGATCTAGAAATAGAAATTACATTTGACCCAGCAATCTCATTACTGGGTATATAACCAAAGGATTATAAATCGTTCTATCATAAAGACACATGCACATGTAATATTCATTGTGGCGCTGTTTATGATAGCAAATACCTGGAACCAACCCAAATGCCCATCAATGATAGACTGGACAAAAAAAATGTGGCACATATACACCATGGAATACTATGCAGACATAAAAAACGATGAGTTCGTGTCCCTTATAGAGACATGGATGAACCTAGAAACCATCATTCTCAGCAAACTAACACAAGAACAGAAAACCAAACACCACATGTTTTCACTCATAGGTGGTAATGAACAATGAGAACACTTGGGCACAGGGAAGGGAACAACACTCACAGGGCTGAAGGACGGGGTGGAGGGGGGACAGTGGAGGTGGGGAGGAGGGAGAGGGATAACACCTGAAGAAATGCCTGATGTAGGCAACGGGGGTGGTGGGGGCAGGGGATGAAGACAGCAAACCACCATGGCATTTATGTACCTATGCAACAATCTGCAGGATGCAGGACGTGCACATGTACCCCAGAGCCCAAATACAATAAAAAAAAGAAAAAAATGAAAAAAAAAAAAAGATATAGACAACTCACTAAAACAGTTAATAGATACAGCTAACAATTACATAAAAAGATGAAGTTCATGAATAATCAGAAAGATGCAAATTAAAATTAGTTATCATTTAAGCTGAAGAAATTAAAATGTTATAATACTCTCATATATTACCAAGGAGTAAATTATTAGTTATTTAGTGAGCAGTCTTACATTATCTATTACTGTGCATGCTATAAACCTACTATTCCATTGGGTAGGTATTACCTTAAAAAAACACTATCATAAATGTCAAACGATGGCCTGTGAAGGTATACAAGGTGTTAACTGAAGTTCTATTTCTAGAAATAACCTAAATATCAATCAGTAAGGAATTGGTAAAATATCTGTAGTATATTCATACAGAGAAACACCATAGAGAAGCTAAAAAGAATGAGGAAAATCTAAATATGCTAACAAGCTTAGTCTACCAAATCAAATTATTGAGAAACGTGTGCTATAGAACCCCTATAAAGTGGGCATTCCACAGCAAGTAGAAAAATTAAATTAATAGAATACATAGCTGAGTGGAGCAAAATGGTAGAAGCATACACTGTTTATCCCAACCCCAACAGGAACACCAAATGTTAACTATCTGCACACAGACAAAGGCATCATCACAACCACCAAATATCAGGTGAGCAATCATACTACCTGGTTTTAACTGTTATCACTGAAAGAAGCACTGAAGAGGGTAGGAGTCACAGCCTTGAATCCCTGATAGCATACCTCCCCCAGCCGGCCCCAAAACATGGATAGAGTCTGTGCATTTCGGGAAGGGACAGTGCAGTAACTGGGGGACTTTACACTAAACTCAGTGCTGCTGTCACAGCAGACAGCAAAGCCATGCTGGGCTCAGCCAGCACCCATGCACTGAAGTAGCCTTTGGACTAGACCTTGCCAAAAGGAAATCACCCATCCCAGCAATAAGAACCGATTTTCTTGGCAAGCTTTACCACCATGAGCTAAAGTGCTCCAAGGTCTTAGGTAAACCTGAAAGACAGTCTAGGACACCAGGACTGCAACTCCTAGGCAACCCTTATGGCTAGGGCTGGGATTAGAGCCAGTGATCCAAGGGAGGTGCCACCTGGGAAAACTGGATATCCATATGCATTAATGAACCTGGAACTCTCTCTCTCACCATATACAAAAATCAAATAAAAATAGATTAAAGACTTTTATCTACGATCTCAAACTATGAAACTACTACAAAAACACTGGGGGAACTCTTCAGAACAGTCTGGGCAAAAATTTCTTCTGTAAGACCCCACAAGCATAGGCAAATGCTGTACAAAAATGGACAAATGGGACCACATCAAGTTAAAAAGCTTCTGCAGAGCAAAGCAAACAACAGACAACCCACAAAATGAGAGAAAACATTTGCAAACTATCCATCTGACAAGGTACTAATAATCAGAATATATAAGGAACTCAAGCCACTCTACAGAAAAAAAAAAAAAATTAACAATCTGATTAAAAAAAAATGGGCAAAACATCTGAAGAAACATTTCTCAAAAGACGACACACAAATGGCAAAAAGGCACATTAAACACTGATCATTAGAGAAATGCAAATCAAAATTACAATGAAATATCATCTTACCCTAGCTAAAATGGCTTTTATCCAAAAGATAGGCAAAACAAATGCTGACCAGGATGTGGAGAAAAAAGGAAACCCTAAGTACACAGTTGCTGAGAACGTAAATTAGTACAACCACTATGGAGAGCAGTTTGGAGGCTCCTAAAAAAACTAAAAATAGGATCTACCATACAATCCAGCAATCCCACTGCTGGGTATATACCCAAAAGAAAAGATATCTGTGTATCAAAGAGATATCTGCACTCCCATGTTTCTTGATGCAGCGTTCCCGTTAGCCAAGATATTTGGAAGCAACCTAAGTGTCCATTAACCGATGAATCAAGAAAATGTGGTACATATACATAATGAAGTACTATTCAGCCCTAAAAAAGAATGAGATTCAGTTATTTAAAATAACATAGAACTGGAAGTCATTATGTTAAGTGAAATAAGATAGGCACAGAAAGACAAAGGTAACAAGTTCCCACTATTTCTGGGATCTAAAAAAATCCCACAAATTTGTGGGATATAAACCAAATGAACTCATGGACACAGAAGGTAGGAGGATGGTTATGAGACTGGGAAGGGTACATACCCAAAATAGTAGGAGGTAGGAGGTAATAGAGGGTAGTAGGAGGCAGGGGGTAGGAAGGGATAATTAATGGGTAGCTCCCCCAAAAAAACACAGAATCATTAAGACCTAGTATTAGCTAGCACAATAGGGTGACTATAGTAAAAAATAATTTAATGGTACATTTTTAAGTAATTAAAGGAGTATAATTGGATTGTTTGATACATAAAGAATGGTTGAGAGGATAGATATCCCATTTTCCATAATGTGATTATTACACACTGCATGCCTGTATCTAAATATCTCATGTACCTCATAAATATATATACCTACTATGTACCCACAAAAATTAAAAAATAGAACATCTTTAAAATATAAAAATTTTGTCAATACCCTATTAAAAACACACACACACACACAGAGAAAACCTTACAGGTGAGATATAGATACAACTTTTTACTTAACATAAATCTCATTCTTAAAGGATAATTTAATTCTATAGATATTATCTATGAACATATAAATTGAAGCATAGAAATGATCTACAAAGATTAAAGTTACAAAAGTTGATACTTCTAAGGAAGTAAAAGCCCAAAGAATGTACACTCTGCGATTTTGTTTATATAAAGTTGAAAACAGACAAAACTCAATTACGGTATCAGAAATCAAGTTAGTGGTTACCTGTGAGAAGGGAGGGTGTAAGAATTGAGAAGATAGAAGCAAGGCACTTCCAGGATACTGTCAATGTTCTGTTTTGTGACCTAGGTACTGGATTCACAGACGTTTGCTATTTTTGTGCTATGTAAGTATTTTCTCCTAGTCTGTTGTTATTTAATACTGGATATACCACTATATAAGTATGAAGAAGTTTTAATTTCAACGTATCTGAAATAATGCACTTATAATCTGTTGAGCTAATATTTACGTTTCTATGCATATTTCTCTATGTACACCATACTTAAACAAAAAAAGCTAAACAACAGTGATAAAACATTTAAGACCTAAATCCAGTTTACCTGTGCTTTTTTCTTTCCTGGAACACATATTTTCACATTTTTTCCTTTTATCATAAGAGGTGTTGTTTCAATGTGCTTCATGATTGCAGTAACTGCCTCTTTAAATTCCATTTCTAGGTAAGCCTAAAATGACAATTATTCCATCATTAGTCACAAACCTACCTTTACAAGTTCCCGCATTTAAAATGGACTTAATTCTTTCTTTTGTAACATCAAACTATGAAATTACCTCAAGTCATGGTTGTTCTTGCCTGTCTTTATTTTGCTCAAGTGTAATTTGATTAAGGATGTTTCACACATGAAATGGACATTTAACCTTACAGAATGTCTATACCACTATCAAGATTAAAAAAAAAAATTCCAGGCAGGGTCATGGAACAAGAGGAAATGAGAATAAATCAGTGAACAATAGGAGGGAAGGGAAGATATGGTCCAGCTTTGTGGTAGGGCTATTTTAAAGGCTTCTTGCAACAAAGACAACACTATCACTATGTTCCCTGTCCTGACTCAAAACTTATTTTTTCTTTTTTTTTTTTTTTTTTTTTTTTTAAATTGAGACTGGGGTCTTGATATGCTGCCTAGGCAGCTCATGAAGTCCTGGCCTCAATCGATCCTCCAGCCTTGGCCTCCCAAAGTACTGGGATTACAGGCTTGAGCCACCACACCTGGCCCTCCCTCCCTCACAATTTTTTTTTTTTTAAGACAGAATTTTACTCTGTCATCCAGGCTGAAGTGCAGTGGCGCGATCTTGGGTCACTGCAACATCCACCTCCTGGGTTCAAGAGATTCTCCTGCCTCAATCTCCCAAGTAGCTGGGATTACAGGTGCCCACCACTATGCCGAGCTAATTTTTATATTTTTAGTAAAGACGGGATTTCGCCATGTTGGCCAGACTGGTCTCAAACTCCTGACCTCAGGGTGATCCACCTGCCTCAGCCTCCCAAAGTGTTGGGGTTACAGGCATGAGCCAACTCACCCAGCCTTAACTCACTATTTTATATTGTGCTTAAAAATTGTTCATATTCTTAACTTTCATCATATGAGTTAAAAAAATATAACCCACAGACAATACTTACAAAGAAATAATTTGTTTTAGTATAATCTTACTGGTGTTCTAAAGCAATGACTGGCAAACTATGACATACTACCTATTTCTGTAAATAGTTTTTTGGAACACACCATGCTTGCTCATTTATATACTACTTATAGTTGTTTTTGTACTAGAATGTCAGAGCACGGCAGTTGAGATCCTAAAGCTGGCTCATAAAACCAAAAATATTTATCTGGACCTTTGCAGAAAAAGTGGGCAAACCCTTATATTAAAGGATATAAAATATTATTTTGGGGCCTTGATCATTCACATCCAAACATTTATATAACTCTCAAGGAACAAATATATATGCAGTACAAGCAGCTAAGAGACCCAACAGCAGTTTATGGAATCATTAAAGCAATTACTTTGTATGAATTTTTGCCACAGACTAAATGACTCACCTCCTTTCTATATGGAACAATCAAGACATCATTCACTTTCCCAAATGGTTGAAATAATTTTCTAACATCTTCTTCAGTACAACCATCCTCTGGTAATTCAGATATAAGAAGGACTGAACTACAATGCAATGATTGTTCCTTCCGAAGCTATTTTTGGAGTGAAAGAAAATTTAAATCAAATCAAATTAAGCTACAATGCACAGTAACAATTTTCTATATAATTTCTTCTACAACTAATAGTACATTAAAGGGTCTTTTCCAAATATTTTACCCATTTTTCTTTTTCCTTCACCACCCCCTCTTTACCCAATTTTTAAAAATCACAATTTATAATTTTAACACTTGATTTTAAATGCAAAAGCAAAGTGGTAAGAAATACTATTTATATTTTTAAACCCAGAAATGGTTTATAGGTGCTCTTTTCTGTTTATAGCATCTTATAGCAAAGAAAATCTATGAAATGGTCCAAGGCCATTAAAGAAAATTTTTCTAAGAAACTACAGGGCCCACCAACAAGTGAAGCTGAAATTAAAGCTTTGCTCACCCTCTGTTCTAATAATTGAAAATGATCTCTAGACAGATATAATATTTTTAAAAATTCATATGTAATGCATACCATTTGAATACATTGTAGTACCAACTTTACCACCTATTTTAAAAATTAGAGCCAGACATGGTGGCTCATACCTGTAACCCAGTGAGACCAAGACAGAACTATCACCTGAGGCCAGGAGTTCAAGACCAGGATGATCAACATACTAAGACTCTATCTCTATTAAAAAAAAAAAAAAATTAAAGCACCCAGGTGGGTGTGGTGTCATGTACTGATAGACTTAGCTACCTGGGAGCCTGATGCATGAGGATACTTGATCTCAGAAATTTGAGGCTGCAGTGAATTACGACTGTGCAACTGCAATTCAGTCTGGGTGAGAGAGAGACTCCATCTCTCAAAAAAAAAAAAAAATTTTTCTTTTTTACTAAATAAGAAGACTTTCAAAAAGTTCCACTGCCACCAAACTACAAGTCTTGAAACAAAATGAAAAGAACTTTATATATATTAATAATCTTATAAGATTATTTCAGCCTCTTCAAAATTGTCCCCTATATTCAAAAATTTCTTCCCAATGCTCTTCAAAATTCTGTACTTACTGGTTGATTATTCGAAGTTAATCCTTCTAAATATAAGTTCTTTGGGGCAGGGAACAGCAGATGCTGAAAGTCTTTAATGTATTGAGATACTGTGGAGAGCAATGCATACCTTACCTGAAGACTTACTGATATTAAAATATACAAAATATTTGATAATTGGGCCTACCAGGATTTTCTCTGAAGACAGTCTCTTGATGTTTTAATATATTATTTAATAGTGATTTAATAAACATATATAATAAAACAATACCTCAGTATCGTAACAAATGCATTACAATCAAAGTACACCAATAAATCAGTACCAAAAACTACATTTTACACTGTACAACAGAGAGTATTTGACTTCTGAAATGTACCACAGAAAATATAGAAGAGATGAATAATGATCAATTCTCAGGAGAGGCTCACTCTTATACCTTACAAAAAATGATTACAAAAGCTCAGTAACGCTGCTGGTGATTATTTAGTTTCCCAATGAGAGAGCAAAACTTACCACAATAATCTGCTTTTGAGGCTAGCCAAAAATGCCAAACCATCAAAATGTTCTCTTTTGACACATCAAATAAAAACCACTAGCATTCCTAAGCTACAAGATTTTGAACTTTGGACTTTTACTATATTCGTAAGAAAAACCAGTGAAATATTCCATACTGAAATCATTTAGCAACTCGTGATTTCAAAGTTACTGGAAATATGGAATTAAAGTTAAGACAACTTCGTTTTTTTTCTTGATAGGGTCTCTCTCTGTAACCCAGCTTGGAGTGTAGTAGTGTGATCTCAGCTCACTGCAACCTCTGCCTCCCAGGTGGGTTCAAAGTGATCCTCCTACCTGAGCCTCCAATGGCCTGGCACTACAGGTGCCTGCCACCATGCCCAGCTCATTTTGATATTCTGTTATTTTTTTGTAGAGAGGGGGTTTCACCATTTGTTCTGGCTGGCCTCAAACTCTTAAGCTCAAGTGATCCACCCCTCTCGGTGTCCCATAGTGCTGGGATTCAGGCATGAGCCACCATGCCAGGCAACAACTTTGTTTTCTGTTTGTCACAGCAAATGAATGAATACTTGAACTAATAAAGAATTACAGAACCAGGTATGGTGGCTCATGCACTTAAAGAGGCTGACATGGAAGGATTGATTGCCTGACCCCTGCCTGAGCAACATGGCAAGATTCTATCTCTACAAAAAATAAAAACTTACCCGAGCATGGTGGCTGTGCTGCCACCATGCCTGTGATGCCAGCTACTCAGGAAGCAGAGGTAGGAGGATCACTTGAGCCCAAGAGATAGAGGCTACAGTGAGCCATGTTTGCACCACTACACTCTGTATCTCCAAAAGTAATTACTAACTAAATAATTACCTTTCGCTGGAGAGAAACAGCTTTATCAGACACCTGTTTACATTCTGGTGAAGTATCATCTTCAAGATTCTTTGATTTACAACGAACAGAATGTCCTCCTAGATTTGAATCGCTCTTTGAAGTGCTTGTAGATTTAACTGATGGTTTTGTTCCACTGCCAGTTTTAGGCTTTTGTGCTGGTGAATGTCCCTTATCAACAGCTTCAAGATGCTTCTGTTTATTAAATTCTGTCCCATGCCCAGATTGTTGTACTACATCTTCTAATGCTTTTTTCCTATCTGGTAAAAAGACATAAAAAACAATTTCAATTGAAAAAAAATTAAAGTAGGAGCCATCTCATGACATAATTTTTAAAATATAGAGCTATTCTCAAGTTGAACAGGGAGCGCACAGATGAAAAAAATCTAGCCTTTATTCACTGAGAAGACTTTTACATGAAGAAGTTCCTTTATTTAGTAAGCTTCCCTTATACCACTGATCCTCAAAGTTTTGGTTTCGAGTTGCTTTACACTTACTGAAGATTCCAAAGACTTGTGTTATATTTATTGATATTTGCCATATTAGAAATATAAAATTTAAAAATATTTATTGATTCATATATTAGGTTGTTGCAAAAGTAACTGCAGTTTTTACCACTGAAAGTAATGGCAAAAAAGTAAACTCCCATATTAATGTAAATCTTTTTGGCCAGGCGCAGTGGCTCACACCTGTAATCCCAGCACTTTGGGAGGCCGAGGCGGGTGGATCACGAGGTCAAGAGATCGAGACCATCCTGGTCAACATGGTGAAACCCCGTCTCTACTAAAAATACAAAAAATTAGCTGAGCGCATCCCTATAATCCCAGCTACTCAGGAAGCTGAGGCAGGAGAACTACCTGAACTCAGGAGATGGAGGTTGTGGTGAGCTGAGATCACGCCATTGCACTCCAGCCTGGGTAACAAAAGTGAAACTCCGTCTCAAAAAAAACCTTCTATAAAAACCATCCATAATTCCCAAAACAAAATTAGTGAAATGAGTCGCACTATTATACCTTCTTCGAAACATTTTAATGTTGTGCTTAAAAGAAAAAATCTAAATTCTTCTATCTGCTTCTGGATAAAGAAAATCCAGCCTCATACAAATATGTAACTGGAAAAAACTTCACAGAACTCAAAAAATCTTGGGGACCCCAATAGGTCATTGCTTATGTAATTAAAAGTATTTTCATTTGAATTCAGCATTTTAGAATATACTAGATACAGTAAGACCTGTTCAAAGTATTACTTTTTTATTTTTCAGGCCAGTCAGGTGAAGCAGTGGGAGTGTCAAAGTACCTCAGATATCAACTATGATTTTTTTCACTGTAGGAGAGGTGTGTGTGTGTGTGTGTGTGTGTGTGCACGCTATTTCTAAAAGGGTCACTAAATCAGTATTAACTCACATTAAAAATAATAATTTCAAAAACATTTTAAATTAATCCATGGAATTCTATAATAAATTATTAAAGCAAACTAAGGTGTTTCTACCATCCTTGGTTTTTAAACATGATGTTGGTAGACGCATATATTCACACACATTTCTTTGCCAAGTTACTAGAGGGAGTAACTCTGTGGGATGTGGGTCAGATTTCCTTTAGCAGTTCTAACATTTAATAAAATGGAACATTTCTCAAAATCCTAAAAAAAAAAAACATTTAAAAATTTAATCAAAGTAAGTACATTATTTCATGGCCATCAGTGTACCTGATGATCTCACTGATCTCCTGGATATCCTTTCGGGACTAACTGATCGAAAGCATTTTGGACTACCCCGAAATGGATTTTTAATTCGATATGGTGAACGGGATCTGGATCTGGATCTGGATCTGTATCTAGAAATGAAACGATGGCAAATTCTTGGACTTCGACTTCTTGGTCTATACATGTAACGCATTGGGCTTCGAGATCGACGGATTCTGTGACTTGAGCTTGATCTTCTAGAACGCCTAGGACTGGGGGAATGAGAACGTCTTCGTGGAGTTTCATTTTCTTTTCTATTACCCTCATTTCTGTAAGCAGGGGGAAAAAAATTAGTGATTAGCAATTTAACGTAAATTTAAATGATACTAAATGACAGAAGTACCTTCTTAAAAACAGACTGTTAACAATACCAAACTCTGATAAAAGATATGTACTTAAAACAAAAATCTGTTTGCTATGATGTGATTCAGCCTTATAGGTGAGTAAGAAACAATCAGAGCAGTTTATCAGCCCTCCAAACTGCTTGGATGTCTGTTTTCTAGTTTACAGGTGAATATGATTATGAATTTCTCTAGTTTTTCCTGTACCAATATTATATCCAATTATGTTTTAAAGTATTAAATTATGTAAAGAATTTAGGAAATGATTTACATGAACAGATGTATTAAATAATTTTTTCCTGAAAGATTATGCCATCTATAACTATGATCTGATTTCTATACGTGTGTGTACACCCATAAACTGAGTAGGATCCCCTAGGGAATACAGAACTTAATAATACCACTCCTAGCATTCAAGGCATTTACAACTAGAAGATATCATAAACATAAAATAATAATGTCAGAATAAAATATTTTCAGAAAAGATTAAAGAAAGTAGTTCAGGGGAGGGGCTGCATCACATTTAAGCTGGAATAAGAAAGATTCATAGAGGTTTTTGCATTTGCCTACTGTTTAAATTACAAAAACAGAACTCAAAAGAATCACTTCCTTAAAATTAAGTGTTCACTTTTAAAAGATAAGTTTTCATAATATTACTATTTTTAAAAATTACCTTCTTGATGGGAGGATCTCAGGATTCCAATCAGGATACCTATTTTAAAAATAAACAATATTAACTAACAGCTAAAATAAGACTATAAGGCTCAATTAATCTTCACTGGAAATAAAATATTTTAAGTATTTAATTCAATAAATAATCAAAGTATGCTAATAGGTGTATCAGGGAAACACATTCTTTATACTTTAAAGGCCTAAACATTTATTTAAGTAAAATGGCCAGTACATACATAAACATGTTAGAGATACAAGATAAAAGCTTAGGTTAAGGGTTAAAAAAGAGAAGACAATTCATCTACTTTACAGAACTCTAGAAAACACCATTCCTATCATTTTCTATGTGGCAACTCACAGAATACAACATGAATGGTGCCCCTTAAACTTATGCCAATTGGTCCTCACAGAGATATATCCAGTAAGAGGAATCAGGAGAGAATTCATAGAAAACGTGGCTTTTCAAGCAGTCCTTAAAAATATCTATTAATAGGCATGGATCAGGTTAGATTTCATGTAGTGACAATACATAAACTAAGATTGGAGGCAAAACATAGGTGTTTTGTTCCAGGAACTGTTTAGCTGCAGCACAGAAATGATAAAAAGGAATTATTAAGGGGGAAACTTGGATAGGTTGTCTGTTGTCTCAGGTAGAGACAAATTATGAAGAGCCTTGAAATCAGGTAATGACGTTACACAAAGAAAAAACGATGGGAAGTTAATGACCATTTGTTAAGAGAAGATAACAGGAATGTTTTCAGAACAAGTGTAAAGGAATATCTGGAATTAGAAAAAAAGGTAAGAGCTGAGATATTTAGAAATCAGGCATGTAGAAGCCACAATTATGGCCCTAAGAGTGAGACTAATACAAGATGGAGTTTATAGAAAAAAAGAGAGCTGAGACAGAATCTTATGCACACCAACGACTGTAAAGTAGACAAAGAAAAAAAAGATTAAGGAGTAATCACAGAAAGAAAAACCAGTAGGAGAAATAGCAATATCACAGAAGCCTAAAAAAAAGGCTGTATCTTCACTCTCAACTTCTAGAAAATCTGAACTCTAACAGGCATTTGGACATGTTGATTGTATTAAATAAATAAATGACTACATTTAACAATACAATTTCAGTAGCAAGATGAAAGCCAGGTAAGGAAATGGAGGCAGCAAACTTCTTACTAATCACCTAGCAGGAAAATAAAGTTAGGTCAAAATTTAGTAAAATGGTTTGTCTTGATTGCTATTTGCCTCAGACATTGTTAATGAGCTAACCCCACAGCAATTCTCAATTCCCTTTTCCTCTGTCTTTACTACAACTACTTAAAAAAGCTAAATATTTGCTTTTCCACTATCTCTAGAAGACAGCCAGTGATAGGTTCTAACCAATGGGACATAGGTACAAAACTCCCAGGAGACATCTGAGAAAGTTTCTGCCTCATTCTTCCTACTTTGAGAATAGACATACTGTGTAGAGCACTTTTTAATTATGAGAGGACAAGCTATGAAGACAAAAAAGTTAACTTTAATCCAACATGCCCATCACCTAGTGTCAACAATTCCCAATAAATGGATTAAATGTGTTCCATCCATTTCCACACTTTTAAAAACTTTCATTGCCCTGTACCGTCCAGAAAGATAAATTCCTAGTCTTTTAATAGTGATTCAAAGCAAATCCTTTATAATCAAACAAAACTGGGTTTCACCGTAGGTGCTGTCATTTAATGGCTATTAAACTTAAAGCCAGTTCCGTAGTATGTATAAGCCTTAGCTTTCTCACATGTATACGCTGGAAATGACAGTGATTAACAACACATGAAAGTTATTACATTTCTAGAGCTCTCTAGTTTATGGTTTACAAGAGTTTGAAGATTATTTTTCAATTGTTACTAATTACGGTCAGGCACGGTGTCTCATGCCTGTAATCCCAACACTTTGGGAGGCTGAGGTAGGCAGATCACGCTTGAGTTCAGGAGTTTGAGACCAGCTTAGGAAACCCTGTCTCTACCAAAAATACAAAAAATTAGCCAAGTGTGGCGGCACTTGCCAGTGGTCCTAGCTATTCAGGAGGCTGAGGTGAGAGAATCACATGAACCCAGGAGGTGGAGGTGGCAGTGAGCTGAGAGAGTTAGTAATGATATTGTTGATTTTCACTAGGTTCAGCTTCACCAGGTTTAGACCTGTTCACTAGGTAACACATGTTCTCATCTCTGCTGCTCAGGGCAGAAAGTTAAAGCATAAATACATTCTGCAAGCAGAATTTGGAAACACCTCTATACTGCCCAACTAGTAAAAAACGTGCTTCAGAAGTAATAATGCTCCTAATATAGCTGGTATAACATAACTGTTAAGAGTAAGGACCTGGTAACTGATGTTATCTTTGTCCCAATGTGATGCAATAAATAAACACATCACCTATGAAGTACTTGCAACAAAAATGTCCTCAGTGGATTTAATGCTAAGGAAACAAATAGGAAACTATAAAAAGTGAGACATTCAACAAGTTTCCCAGACATTTCAAGGAAAAGTTCAACACTGTAAAAACACCCACCTTGAACAACAACAAAAAAAAAGATAACAAAACAGAAAACAAACAAAACAAACAGTAGGCTATTCTAGATTAAAAGAGACAGCAATACGCAAATCTTAACTGAATACTAAATTGGGGGTATGGATGGGGCAGACAAGAAGAATTATAAAAGGCATTCTGGAAACAAATGGGAAAATAGGAATTCTGTTTATATGTTATAAGGCACTGTGGAATTATTAATCTATTTAAATGTGTTATGCAGGTTATGCAGAACAATGTCCTTACTCTTAGGAGATAAAAGCATTTAGAAATGATGTCGCATAATGCCTGCAATTTATTTTCAAATGCTTCAGAAAAAAAATGTATGAAGATATAATAAAGCAAATATTAACAACTGATGAATACAGATGAAGAATATACATTTTTCTTCCTTTTTCCCTTCAATATTTATTCTGAAAAAATTTTAAGCCAAAAAAAGTAGAAGGGATGGTAAATAAAGGTCCATGGGCTAAACTAGTTCTGATTAACTATTTGCTGCATGATGATAGGGAAACTGTCTCTGTGCCTCAGTTCTCTCACTGATAAAATCAGGAGTAATCCTTATACTTAACACTTTGTAGGTGTTTTTGAAGACTAAATCTATTATGTAAAGTACTCAGAATGCCCAGCACACAATAAACATAGTATAATTACCTATTTTTAATAGTAAAATTCGAATTCACCATATCTTTCCTCAACTCGTGTCATAATCCAGAAAGATCCAATAAAGCCAGAGAAAATAAGCCATAAGAAACGCAGTAACTTGGCAACAAAAGCCAAAGTAAACAAATGGGACCTAATCAAACTCCACAGCTTCTGCACGGCAAAAGAAACAGTCACTAGAGTGAATCGGCAACCAACAGAATGGGAAAAAATGTTTGCAGTCTACCCATCTGACAAAGGGCTGATATCCAGAATTTACAAAGAACTCAAACAGATTTACAGGAAAAAAACAAGCCCATTCAAAAATGGGCAAAGGATATGAACAGACACTTTACAAAAGAAGACATACATGAGGCCAACAAACATCTGAAAAAATGCTCATCATCACTGGTCATTAGAGAGATGCAAATCAAAACCACACTGAGATACCATCTCACGCCAGTTAGAATGGCGATCATTAAAAAATCTGGAGACAACAGATGCTGGAGAGGATGTGGAGAAATAGGAACACTTTTACACTGTTGGTGGGAGTGTAAATTAGTTCAACCATTGTGGAAGACAGTGTGGCAATTCCTCAAGGCCTTAGAAATAGAAATTCCATTTGACCCAGCAATCTCATTACTGGGTATATATCCAAAGGACTATAAATCATTCTACTATAAGGACACATGCACATGAATGTTCATTGCAGCACTGTTTACAATAGCAAAGACCTGGAACCAACCCAAATGCCCATCGATGATAGACTGGACTGGGAAAATGTGGCACATATACACCATGGAATACTATGCAGCAATCAAAAACGATGAGTTCATGTCCTTTGTAAGGACATGGATGAAACTGGAGAACATCATTCTTAGCAAACTGACACAAGAACAGAAAATGAAATACCACATATTCTCACTCATAGGTGGGTGAGGAAAAATGTGAACACATGGACACAGGGAACGGAGTACTACACATCGGGGTCTACTTGGGGGAGCTGGGGAGGGATAGCCTGGGGAGAAATGCCAAATGTGGGTACGGGGCAGGAAGGCAGCAAAATACACTGCCATGTGTGTACCTATGCAACTATTCTGCACATTCTGCACATGTACCCCAAAACCTAAAATGCAATAAAAAAGGGAAAAAAAGAAAAAGAAAAGAAACGCAGTAACTATCTAAATATGTATCAATGGAGGAATGAGTAGAAAGAAGGTATATCCACATTAACGCAGCTTAAAAGAATAAAGAATGCAGATCCCAAGCACCTAACCAAATCTTATTTATTAAATTACTTTGCAGTGGGGAGAAAGTCATGAAGCATTATTCAAGAGCATACAACCTGTATGTGATTGTTAATTTGAGGTATCAACTTGACTAGATGGAGGGATGCTTAATGACTGGTGAGGCATTGTTTCTTGGTGTGTCTGTGAGGGTGTTTCCAGTGAAGACTGGATTTTGTGTCAGTGAGCTGAGTAAGGAAAATCTGCCCTCAATGTGGACGAGCATCATGCCACAGCATAGGCTGGGAGCCCAGATGGCAGAGATAGATGGAAGAAGGTGGAATTCCCTCTCTCCACCCCTCCTTCCCTCAGAGCGAGATGCCCTTCTACTCCTTTCCCTTGGACATCAGAACTCTAAGTTCTTGGGCCTTTGGTCTACGTGACTTGCATCAGCAGGCTCCTGGGTTTCTAGGGCTTTCTGTCTCAGACTGAGAATTATGCTATCAGCTTCCTTGGTTTGGAAGCTTTTGAATTTAGACTGAGCCAATTCCCCTAGTAAATCCCCTCTCACATATCAATACACAGGAATATCTCGGAGATATGTAGATTCAGTTCTAGAACATCACACTAAGCAAGTCACATAAGTTTTTTGGCTTCCCAATGCAAAAATGTACATAAATTAATTAAAAATACTTCATTGCTAAAAAATACTATCATGAGTCTTCAGCAAGTCAAAATCAAAGATCACTGATCACAGACTGCCATAACAGGTATAATAATAATGAAAAAGTCTGAAATACTTTGAGAATTACCTCCCAAAATGTGACTTAGGAACACAAAATGAGCACATGCTGTTAGAAAAATGGTACCAATGGGAAAGAGCCCTGATTGGCCCAGTAGAAACAAGGGAAAGAGGGAGGCCCTGGATCTGCCACTGTAATCAGAGTGAGGCCAGGTGGAGAAAAATGTGCAGAAGGTGAAGAAACTATGAAGGCATTATGAGACATCGTGTTTCCTGGTTAGGAGACACAGCCTGGAGAATTATGAAAGATATACTGTCGTTTTAAATTTCAAACCACAGTTACCTGTGTAACTAAAGAACCCTTAAGTCCCACAATAGGAAAAAGTGGAAACTGACCCAGAGGAGACCATATTGAAGGATATATCCAATTGCAGTTCCGACCAGCATACAGGTACTAACAACACTGTTCATTTTCAGCTTCAGCTCTTGTTTTTGGCAGCAAAAGCATGCTCAAGGGCCAGATGAGACAGCGATTTGATATTAGGAGATGATTAAGATGGATTCTTGAATGATGCTCCCCAAAAGATATATAAATATATATGTCCCAATCCCTGGAACTTGTGAATGTTACCTGATTTGGAAAAGGATCTTTGCAGATGTAATTAAACCAAAACTCTTGAGATGAAATAATCTTAGATTATCCAATGTGCCCGAGATCCAACAGCCAGTGTCCTTATAATAGCAGGGCAGAGGGAGGTTTGAGAGGAGAAGGGGTGTGAAGACAGTAGCAGAGATGGGATTGATGGGCTACAAGCTAAGGAAGGCCAACGACTGTCCTTAGTCACTAGAAGCTAGGAGAGAGGCATGGAATAGATTCTCCCCTAGCACCTTGGAAAGGAGTGTGGCCCAGCTAACACCATGATTTCAGACTTCTGGACTCCAAAACTGTGAGAGAATAAATTTCTATTAAGTCAAAAAAAAAAAAAAAAAAAAGAAAAGAAAAAAAAAATAGCACCAACAGACTTGACACAGGGTTTTCACAATCTTTCAATTTGTAAAAAAGCGAAATTATGTGAAGTATAATAAATCAAAGTGCAATAAAATGAGGTATGCTTATATATGTCTCCCCTCTTGGTCTCTCTGGAGTCCTAATACACTTGACATGGTTAAAAAATAAAAAGTAGTGTAGAACATTAAAGTAGCAGGCATGGAAAGCAAATGCTTTAAATCAGGGTCCTATGTGCATGAAAAAAATAATAGCCTTACCTACACTTAAGGCTTTGATAGGTATATACACGCTGTTTGCTCAAGTAAATTAATGTAGCTATAATCCTCCTACTAGCATGAATGACTACCTAAAATAAATAGCTCGCTCCCACCCAAATAAAAATTCACCTTCATTAAAAGACATCCCACTGGGTACCTGTGGGAAAATGTTGCTTAAGAGAGATTTTCCATTTTTTGACTGTATTCCTTACAGTGTCAGTAACGAATATCCAATTCAGGCAATAAATTATCTCCCCATGATAACTTTATGTTTGTCTGTACAGTACCTATGTAGGAAACTAACCCCAATTTCTAGTCTTAGTGTGTAAGATCCAGGTGCAGCTTATCTCACTCTTGACACCAGGAGTAGACATATGACACAAACTGAGGTGTAATACCCTGTTCCCATAGCTACTATAATGGGTTTAGGGATGGACAACTAACCCGAAGTGAACCAAGATTCAAAACAAGGACTTCTGCTGAAGTTATGGAGAAAGAAGTGCTCTAAAGTAAAAAGGTGAGATGGGAGAGGCATATATTCTCAGGACCTCCCAAGGCTGTGTCACAGGGTGAGGGGTTGGGGGAGGAAAAAACAAAACCCTCCTAGAAATGCCAGCTATACAGATTACTTACATCCAAAACCATGGGGTCCATTTTGCTATGTGAAAGAAGTGTGTCCAAGATTTCATAAGGCCAATGCAGAAGACAACAGCTAAGAAAGAAGTATTTCTGACACTGAGTTTTGTCTGAGCATCTAATACAGCTGCTCCTGAAACTATTAATAGAACCACCAAACTCATTTAACCTTCCCAGTCAATCGAACTTACAAATTCTTACTTAAAAAAAAATTTTTTTTTGAAACAGGATGTCTCCCAGGTTAGACTGCAGTGGTGCAATCATGGCTCACTAAAGCCTCTATCTCCCATGATCAAGTGATACTCCCACCTCAGCCTCCCAAATATTTTAACTACAGATGTGTACCACCATGCCTGGCTGATTCTTTTATTTTTATTTTTGGTAGAGAAGAGATCTTGCTATGTTGGCCAGGCTGAACTCCTGAGCTTAAGCAAGCCTACCTGCCTTAGCCTCTCAAAATGCTGATTTGCAACTTTAATCACTTACAACCAGAAGGATCCTCAATAATAATCTCAAATCTATTTGCCTATAAACATGTTACTGTCAGTCTGGTGGCTAGGAACTGTTTAATGGTACTAGGGAAAGCAGAGTTTAATTTTATGTTACTCCAAGGGATACAGGAACTTAGTGTTAAAATAACACTTTTCACCTTTATGGCCAGTAAAGAAACCTTCATAGATGCCCTGTTTTAAAGAAGAAAAAGGTGGAATAAATGAAAAGCCAAGACTGAAGAACCAAGACATCTAGCTTTTTCATCCCTTACTTAAGGTATATTCTGAAAACTGGTTCTAAGATGGAGAAGAGCTTTAGGTCCGAAATTAAATGCTCATGTTTGGTTTGCACTGATTTTCAGTTACTTATCCTATGGAAAGAGGTAAAGATAGGAGAAAGAAAGGATACCTGCTCTGATATAGATAAAAGATCGTGGGGAAGGTAAGCCAGCAAAGAATGAACTAATGACGTAAAAAGTTTACCTATTGGGAATTAAGTTAGAAAAGTGTCAGAGCAAAGGATATACTGAATTCTATCATTTTAGAAAAATATTAAATATACTTCCACAAAACTAGTATTTTTAAAAGATAACTTTCTAAAAATATTTTTCTCCAAAGTATACTAAAAATATTAAGTCATAACTGAACATTATTTTGTAAATATGCTATAATAAAGAAAAAAATGTTCTTACTGTTGACGTAACTGTCGACAGCTCTCAATATGAGTAGATGTATTTTGATGCTGAATCCAATCCTATTGTAAAAGGAGAAAAGTGTCGAAATTAGAATACTCCTCATGTTGACTAATGAACAAGGCTTTTAAAAAACACGAAGAATACATCTTTTTCAAAAATTAAACAAATGTACTTATAAATAGCTTTTGGCTACTCAATAAAATTTTTCACAAACAAAAATTAAAGGTTTCCAAATGTACTTAATACCATACCTCATTGATCCCATTTGAAAATATTTTAGTACAGAAAACATTTTAAATATCATATCCATGGATGCTCATTTTGAAATCAACATATAAACTTGGAGAAAATAAAAGCATAAATCAGCAAAAACTTATTGCGAAAAACACCACACCAGAAAACACCAAAAATTCTATAAGTAAAATGGTATCTGTGAAACAGTATCTTCAAAATACAGTATTTCAATGACAAATACCTCTAAAATTTATGTTAACAACATCAACAATCAAAAAATGCTACCTCATAGGCCAGTACCATTCCATACAAGGTACTCACTATTTTGGTAAATAAGATTAGTGAAAATATGGGGAAAATACTGCTGATCAAATCTATTTTCAAAATTTAAAAGTAACAACATTTCAAAGATACAATATCCCTTACATATTGGCTTTACAATTAACAAAATGTTTTCTTATACATTATTTCATTTACATATAAATCCATCCTAAAATTACAATCTGCACCCATAAATAGCTCTGGAAGATATATCTAGATTTAAAAGAAAAAAAAGCCAATACAATTTTGAAAGATACAGTTTCCAAAGTGAAACAATTAGTTAAAAGCAGTATGTATGTTATTCTAAGTTTCACTGTTCCTCCAGGATTTGGAAAAGCAGAAAACTTACTAAATAACTGTATTTCAAAACTTTGCTTAAGGAAAATGTGATTATTTGTTTCCATTTCAAACACATTTTAGTTTAGGTCACTGCTAAAGATGAACTATAAGTTTCCACAGGTAAAATCACAATTGACAATTTTGGATTCTGTCTTGGCAAGAATTATCCGAAAAAAGGTATACTGATTTGCAATGCAATGCTTAGCATCAATTTAAACTCAGCAACAAGGTATGACAAATCCTAAACTATTTCAATAAGCCATGGAACTGATTGTAGACTACAAAAAAGAAATGTTTGTACATCCTGTTTAGTAATACAAATAGAAATCTAGAAGAGATTGGCAGTTAAAAGTCTCTAGTGGTACTAAAACCCGTATTTTTAATGTTAACTGGACACTTTACATCAAACAGACACACTGGTGCAGGCAATAGGTTGGGCATGATTTATTTGAACCATAAAGTGTTTTATCTGTATACGTTGCCAACATTTAATAATCCAGAGATTTTAACCCCAAGTCCAGATTTCCAGCTTTTCTTGAAAACATAGGATGATACAGTAATACAGGATACCATTCTTATAGCAACTATCAGCTGATGATGATGGCTCCCCTTTTTAAGACATACTCTCCCTCACACATAACACACATTCTCTTACTGTATTTTTAATAGGCTTGCTTCACAAATTGACATTACTTGCTTTAAGCTCAGTAAATACACCTATCCTGCCCCAATTTCTAGACTCTCTGGCAAAAGTATCCAGATTAGATAATGGTCCAAAAGCAGCACTGCCTCCCCAGAGAAAAAGTGAAAATTACCTACTAAGGAGGAGACTCTGACTCTGCAAGGACTGTATAGAATTAGGCAGGCTCAGGATGAAACTGAAAATATCTACCCGTATCAGGGCTCACTCACTAGTCTCAACAATTTTTTACTGTCAGTAGTTTCTCAAACTGGATTATTTCAGTCATTACGACACAACCCCTAAACCAAGGGAAGTTTTTCCTTTAAAATCTGAACCCCAATTTAACAAGCAAATACATTTCACATTCTCAAAGTACATCTTCACAGCTATAATTTCAGAGACTCAAAGGTGGGAAATATACATATTGTCAGATTTACTCAGTAGAAAAAAGTCTGCAGTTGGTAATTTACATTTATTGGCTTCATATTTATGTCATATACATACACACACACACCCCAAGACTTAGGAGGCAGCAAAATATATCACAGAAATGAGTAGTAGTTTGTACCATCAAAATTCCCATCTTCACAAATCTCTATCATCTGGCCCTAGTAGAGAAAAATTCTTTACTTAGATGAGCCCCATTCTGTTGTGCTGTCTGTTAAAAGGGGTGTGTGTGTGTGTGTGTGTGTGTGTGTGTGTGTGTTTAATGGCAATCTATGTGAGTTCTAATGATTACTAAATGATTTTCTCTCCTCTCAAATCTTTACTTTTACCCTATTAACGCAGGTTTTTACCATCTTTTACTTGAACAATTAGAGAAGCTTCCAAGTGGAGGTCCTCCTCCGTATCATCTCATCTCTATTTACCCTGCATACTTCAGTCAGGTCTCCTTAAAATATACTTTAAACATGTGTCACTCACTTATCAACAAAGTTATTTAGCTTTCTAATGCCTCTCACCTCAAGTCTAAACTCCTAGACTAGCTCTTCAAGGCCTTTCATACTTATTTCTAATATGCTCATCTCTTTCTCAACTGCCTCCTACCACACTGAAATGTAGTCTTCTCTCTGGACCTTTGCCTCTCTGTATATTGTTGCCATCCCATCTCCTTTATTTTTTTTGAGATGGAGTCACTCTGTCACCCAAGTTGGAGTGCATTGTCGAGATCTCCCGGGTTCAAGCAATTCTCCTGCCTCAGCCTCCTAAGCAGCTAGGATTATAGGCATGTGCCATCATGCCCAGCTAATTTTTGTATTTTTAGTAGAGACGCATTTCACCATATTGGTCAGACTGGTCTCGAACTCCTGACCTTGTGATCCGCCCGCCTAGGCCTCCCAAAGTGCTGGGGTTATGAACGTGAGCTACTGCACCCAGCCCCCTCCTCCTCTTTATACAGGCATATCTAAAGCCTCTTTATCATTCAAGATCCATCTTCAACCTACTCTATGAAGTCTTCTCTACCACATCATTCTAGTCAAGATAGACTTAGTGCATTTAGTGACTGTCATTCCATTAGTCTAACTAGGCTGTAAAAGTCTTTTGATGTCAGAATGTGTATTTATACTTTTTAAACACATACCGCTACAAATACAATAGTTAAAATAATTATTAAATTGGTAAATTGGTAATGATTACATTAGTAAACTGATGATGCTGGCCTGAGTGATACACGCCTGAAATCAACATAGAAATATTACATCTCTGTCCCCTACAGCATATCCAAACAAGTTAAATACACAAAACCACTTGTTGCCTTCTAATTGTTTTAAATGTCTCAGGAGTATAATTTTTCTCCTCAGTAAGACTGGATAAACTGCTTAATAGCATCTAAAATTTTACACAGTTCCTCATTTCTGCCCCAGTACCTAATTGGAGTCAAGTACAAAACTGGTATCTGTAAGTACATACTAAAGTAAATGTATACGTTTTCTACTATACAGAATACAAATTAAAACTTCAAGTTCTTTATTCAAAGATATATATTTTTGGATTCATCATAATTAATTAAAAGTTTAAAATAAATTTTAAAATTGTGTGGTATGCCCAGTCATAAGAATACAGAGAGACTAAGACTCAATTCACTACTTAGGCCAGAGCTACTTAACAGATTACAATTAGGTGACATGAATTATTCTAAGACTTTTTCCCTTGTAAGGACTTTGCTATCCCTTCTGATGGAATAAGGCAACTATTATTTTAATAGAATTTGGCAGAGCTGGCTCAAATGGGATCGAATGCTGCTTTCTTTGACTGGAGTTAACTTTAAGAAAGAAACAACAGATGTAATTATCAGATTCATGTTGATAAAAACCTGGTGAGTGAATAATGAAAAGAAAATCAAAAGGCAGCACTGCAAGAAGAAAAGAACAAGAATATTAGCAGCTATAGATTTTTAAGCCTAAGTATACAACCAATTCCAGACCATGGCCTTGAATCAAAGCTTTTTCCCATGTTAGTACATTCCCTCTTGACTCTTTACAATCTGAATCATAAATCACATTGGTAAATAGAAGAAACAGTGCTTGCCAAACACAGATAGATAAATAAAATTTACTTGGAAATTCCTGCTCAAATCTACCAATGATTACTACCGAACAGTATGTTCTACATTATAGTACGGTTGACTGCCTCTGCAAAATACTTTCTTCTAACTATACTATTAAGTACCTAAATCTTCTTTTTTAAAGAATTTTCTTCTTCAAATTTCTATCATTTAACTCTATAATTAATGCAGCTTGACTTATTTTTGCTATAAAGTTATTTTAGAAAACTTCTCAAAAAAAAAAAACACTAAAAGCACTAGTCTATATAAAGTCAGGAAATATTTAAATCAACATTGTCTTTATCCCAAGACAGGTATATATGTGCAAGGCTATAATATAATGTCTCTTAAATGTGTGAATTACAAATGAATTAAACCATCTTTTAAGTATACATGGGTTATACCATCTCTTTGTAATTTTATACTAACAGATCCTTTTAGAGAAAGGTGATTCCATGTGACATTGTCTTGTTAAGTACACAGTTTATGTTATATAAATTTTATGCTGCATAAGTGGGATAATTAAAAGTTTAAAATAAATGGACAAATTAATATATGGTGAGCCCGGTCATAGGAATACAGTAAGCCTAACACTGAATTCAGTACTAAGGCCAGGGCTACTCAAGATTACAACTAATATTGAGGTTGCAATTAAAATTACCTTCTGCCATTTCTTTAATGTCTAGTTAACAGCAGCATACATATTAAAACTTAGAGAAACCTTTGGTGCTGAGCATCATTATACAGTGATCTTTTTAAAAACACTCACCTTCAAATGACTACATTCTACGTTACACAGAGAACACAAATGTGGAAATATTCTTGGAGACGCTGCATAATAATCATTCATCATAGAAGGAGTTGGAAGTCTCTTCATTTTCTGGGCATCAGCATGTGAAAATTTTGGTAGCCAGGATGCTTTCACAATACCAAAGGGAGACCGAATGGGAATGTCAGCCTGTGACTGGTAATTCTTTTTACTTCCTCTTGATCCAACATGTACATTAGATGAATTAATCACAGGCTCACGTGGGATCCGCTCTTGTTGGCTTACAGTTGAAATTAATTCTGACGAAAATGGTTGCTGGTTCATAGACGGAGGAATCAGAGATTGACTCATTGTCTGGCTAACTGTTTGGTTAATGGATTGGTTGACAGATTTTATAGGTTCAAGGACTGACTGTCCTCCCGAAATGTGTAAGCCTGACATCTTGGTTCCACTCTCGACTGGGAAAAATGACCGATTATTGGAGGACTCACCGGGGAAGTCCATTTGGTGAAATACATCTTCAACAGGAAACACAGAATTACATATCACATTTGGATTGGGAACAGATGCAGAAATGCTCTGCTGTGACTGGAATTCATTCTCAACCTCATCAGTTGGAATTTCAGGATCATAAATACGTACTTCAAGCGGATCTTCTGTGTAGCCATATTTGCTTGCATGCCCATAATCAATCACATTACTTGAAACTGCTTCACTACCAAGTGTTTCTTTATTTCTGCTCTGAGAAGGTAAATTAGGTAATCTGCGCCCCATTTTTCGCATTCTTATATCCCTCAAAATTAATGGCATATTTTCCGGAGTTAGTTGTTCATCAGGATAGCGACTAAGTTCTTCTAGGTCTTCATTAGATAATCCAAAACTTGCTAAGATACTTGAGGCACTCTCTTTAGTATAGCGGCTCTGTACTTTGGGACTCTGCTCTGTAACCTGTGTTACAGAACTCTGTTTCACTGCCACTGATGCAGATATATGAGGCTCATCATCCCACCGGCTACCGTGAGGCTTCCCCTTCTTCTGTTGTGCTTCATGAAAATCCAGTTTTTCTTTGGTCAATCTTGGATCAGTTCTGTGTTGAGTTACCTGAACATTCATTCTCTGTGGTCCCATGTTCTGATAAGATTCATGGCCAGCAAATCTGTGTGGAATTCCACGGGCTCTCCCTGCTGGGTAAAACCTTGGGAGACCCATAGATCCAGGCCTCATAAATGGTCCTGGAGGCCTCATCCCAGAAGGGTTAGGTGCTCGTGGCCTTTGAAGTGGAAAGTCTCCTCGAGGATTAAACCTGGGTCTCGACATGGCTATTTTCAAGAAAGCCTGATTTAATAAAGTATAAGGTGGTGGTGAACCATGTGAGGCAACGGCATTCAGCTGCTGAAGCGCCAACTGAGTCTTAATCTGAGCAAAGTGCAAAGGAGATGGGCCCAACAGAAGTGGGTTTGCAATGCCCAGGTTCAAGGAATTCACAAGTGGTGCGAAATTTTCCAAGAATAACACAAAGCTGAAAGTTAAAACACAAATATTAGATCATTTTAATTCAAACTACTTCATGAAGTGGGTTCTACAGCCAGTGTAAAACATTTTGAAATAAAGCCACGAAACCATTCTGCATTTCAAACACTTTTAGAGTAAGGGCTTACGAAGATTTAAATTTCCCAAAAACTTTCTCTTTTCTTCTTTCCTGAATGCAGAACACAAGCCCCAACCTCAAGCCAGAGTTCATGTACATTGTGTTGCGTTGGCTGCTGTCCTAGGTGCTGAGCAGTAATTACAACTCTTTTTACATAATCTTGAAAAATACTGGGAATTTATTTCATGCTGTAATACTGGGGAAAAAAGATGAAGGCATTAAAATACTTATAAATGCACACATATTTAATATGCATGTTATTAGATATACAAATAAAGAAAATAAAAACTGTAAGCCTGAAGTTTCATAAGACTCATTTTTGTAAAATACAGTCTTCTTAGAATCAGTCTTCGCATCTAATAAATTCCACAGGACAAATAAACTACACTTATGTGCCTGTTATTAAACGGTTGTTTCTTGTAAGATAAAAATTTGTTGCTAATCAACTTGTTTACAGAGTCTAAGAAAACAGTATGCAATGACATGGAATTCGTTATAATATAGAAAATATGTAACAAAACCAGTAACTCTTCCCTTGGAGTCCCTCCATATTTGTCTCACAGTATAGAAAAATATGCATAGATGATAATAATTATTAACTTTATAGAGCACTGTCCATGTGTCAGTGTTCTATGAACTTTAAATGGAATGGATCATTTAATGCTAACAATCCCAAGATATGTACAGAGGAAAACACTAATGCACACACAGGTAAATTAACTTACAAATACAAGTGACTGTGCTGAGATTTGTATTGAAGATTGTCTGGTCCAATAGTATGTACTCTTAACCACTAATAGATGTGAGCAAAAAAATCTTGCTGTTTCCAGGCACTTTATTAGTTAAAACTGGTTGCTAACCAGCCCATCAGACTGCAGCACTATCCACACTTCAACACTCTTCTCAGAAAACACTACTTTAGCCACCATTCAGGACCAAGGTCAGCAACCACATAACTTGCCTTTCCTCCTGTAATTAAAAAATTTATAAACATATGGACTATGCTTGTGCTTTCTATCAGGACCTCACTTTTATGCATGATTGAAATGCATGGTGGAAAATGTGAGGTCTTCAGGCATCTACAATTGTTATCAAAATCCACACCACAGATCCTATTTGCTAATCATCACTGTCTGGTTCAAGCTACAATTCCATCCATGACTTTACTATACACTCTTCTCTTTATTTATACATTATATTAATAAAATGTTAATTTGGCTGGGAAATGGTCTTTATCTGGTTAACACTCTCCCTTCCAGTCATTTTGCATGCTGCCACCACATTTAACCTTTGCAAAAGGTTTTATAACTTTTGCAACTTTTTTACATTTTTACCACACAACTCCTCTGTTCAAAAATCCATGAACATCTCATTCCCTTTATTACTTGGCTTTATTGTTTAAGGTCCAACCAATCCAACCAACAAAACCAAATTTTATCAGACAGGTATTTTTGCTATGCCACTGTTCCTATTCTTCCCAACTCCCTTCACCTCTTCCAATCAAAAACAAATGTTGCTCTAGATGCTGACTTATTCATCCTTCAAGGTCAGCCGCATTCAACCTCCCTTGACTACCAATCCCTGAAATGAGTTTTGAAATAACCTTTCTTTCCTTTTTTTTTTAAAAGATAGATTCTCACTCCGTCACCCAGGCTGGAGTTCAGTGGCGCCATCTCAGCTCACTGCAACTTCCACTTCTCGGGTTCAAGTCATTCTCCTGCCTCAGCCTCCTGAGTAGCTGAGATTGCAGGCCTGCACCACCACACTACCCAGCTAATTTTTGTATTTTTAGTAGAGATGGGGTTTTGCCACGTTGGCCAGGCTGCTCTCAAACTCCTGACATCAAGTGAACCGCCTGCCTTGGCTTCCCAAAGTGCTGGGATGTAAGCCACCTCACCTGGCATCCAATAACCTTTCTTATTTATTGCTTGTACCATTTTTTGGACCCTTACCACCTTATGTTTCCGCACTCATACACATGGTCTTTTTCAACAATGTAATGTCAATTGAAGGTTTACATTCATGGCTAAGTCTTATCCCCCAAGCATATAAACCCTACTCCTACTCAAAAGATCCTCAAACGTGTTAAACTATATGAATGATCACATCCAAAGTACTCACTAACATGCACAAATTTTCCAATTAGAATGAAACACAACAATACAGCAAATACACAGGCTTCTGATTCAACAGATACAAGCTGAAGACACAAGCTCACCAAACACTGATACCCAAATTTTATTTAAAAGTTCACTTATAGGCCAGGTGCGGTGGCTCAAGCCTGTAATCCCAGCATTTTGAGAGGCCGAGGTGGGCAGATCACGAGGTCAAGAGATGGAGACCATCCTGGCCAACATGGTGAAACCCCATCTCTACTAAAAATACAAAAAAAAAAAAAAAATTAGCTGGGCATGGTGGCATGCGCGTGTAGTCCCAGCTGCCAGGGAGGCTGAAGCAGAACTGCTTGAACCCAGGTGGCGGAGGCTGCAGTGAGCTGAGATTGCGCCACTGCACTCCAGCCTGGCGCCTGGCGACAGAGCAAGGCTCTGTCTCAAAAAAAAAAAAAAGTTCATTTATAACAAACTAATGGTCTTTTTAAACAATCATAAATCATATGAAACTGTGCCTGCCTTCTACACAATAAAATCACTTCCAAAACAACTGTCTTTACCCAATCCTAAAAGATATACATTGCTTATGTAAACAATTTATCACCTAGTTATTTCAATGCTTTCTGCACCATTTACTCCATTTGGTGAAGACTCCTCTTATAACTTCATAAGCACGAGCTCTTCCAAATAATGTTTCTCGTCCAAAATAAAACAGCAAAGGAACAAATTTCAATCAGAGTGATCTAATTACTAAATGGAATTGTGAACAAGTATCATTTGGAATCATCTCCATTTTAAACTCCTTAAAGGCAAAAATCTACTGCGTATTTCCTAATGTGCCCAACATTGCATTACACTGATTTAAGTACACATTAATAGAAGGTAAGAGAACAACAGCCTTTAATAAACTGTATTCTCCAGAATACTAGTCCTCTAAGAGTGGTCATCTACAAAGATGTTCCCTGGCCAAGAAAGTTTGAAGGGCAGCATACTTGATTTTTAGAAGAGAACAATGTCTATTAGCATATTAAAGTCTATGAGAGAAGTAGCTCACATCTGTAGTTCCTAGCTACTCAGAAGGTTAAGGCTGAAGAGTAGCTTGAGCCTGGAGAGCAGAGGTTGCAACAAGCCGAGATTGCACCACTATACTCCAGCCTGGATGACAGAGTAAGACCTGTCTTAAAAAAAAAAAAAAGTCATGTGAGGCCCTGCTGTAGTTGATACACTTATCAAAATCTTTTTTACATTTTGCACTTCCCAAACCTAGGTTTCTATTCAGAGAATAGACAAGGGCTTCCTATGGTGGGTTTCCCAGGATATAAAAGTTATGAGAAACTTTCCTACCTATATATCCAGGGGTCATGTCTGAAATATTTAGTAACTAGTAAAGAACATGCAATGAACAATCAGAACATAGGTGCTTTACAGTGTGGAAGCAGACTCCTTAGCCCCTCCTTGGTATATCACCCTTAAACTTTTAAGGGTTAAAGTTGCTGAAGCATGAGAAGGCAGTGATGGGACATCCCTAGGGGAGGAACTAGAAGAGGGAAGGAGGTGGGGGATCCTCCCTTGGAGCAGCAGCTACTTACTAATCAGGAAAGAATTATTTCTATATTTAACACAGCAGCATCAGTGTGTAGTCACTGAATATTAATCTTGAAAAGATACCAGTCTTTCATAGAAAAATCTGGAATTCACATGAAGAGAAGAATTAAAAGGCATTTTCCCAGTTACGGAATTGCAACTATCAATAAGCAGAGATTTGGCCTGTTTGCATTTTTTAGGAGTCTTAAAAAACAACCACCACACCAGACCTCCTATATGGTTAGTCCCATCCTAAAATCTAATATAATGAAGACAGTGTAGTAAGTTAGCAGCCCTGGCTCTGCCTAAAAGCTCTCTCTCCCTTCTCTACTGGGAAGACAAGTCAGAATTCCGTTCAGGTAGTTATTTACTAAGCATTCTGGTCCCAAGACCTGCTAGGTAGAGGTAGGAAAGTTTCTAACAGTCATATCCTAGGAAACCTACTAAAAGTAGCACTTGTCAATCTTACAATAGGTCATTTCTGCCAACTTCCTTTTTGAGAACAAGTTTCTTTAATCCTCCTGAACTTTCAGCCAATACTTCTAACTTATCCCATGATACCATACATATTTCATACTTTTATGTGTAGTATATATCATTTTAGTTTATATTTAGTAACATTTTCACACAATAATCCAGTTGATAAAAAATCACCTTCTTATGCTACCATTATCATTTCTAATCCCAGTAGAGAAGTTTCTGACAAAATACTTTGTCAAAACATCATTAAAAGAGGAATTATGGGCCAGGTGCAGTGGCTCATGCCTTTGGGAGGCTGAGGGAGGCAGATGGCTTGAACTCAGGAATGCAAGACCAGCCTAGGCAACATAGAGTGACTTCACCTCTATAAAAAAAAAAAACAAAAATTAGTAAGTGTGGTGGTGCGTGCCTGTGGTTCCAGCTACTCAGGAGGCTGAAGCAGGAGGATCACCTAGGCCTGGGAGGTTAAGGCTGTAGTGAGCCATGACTGCACCGGCTGCACTCCAGCCTGGGTGACAGACCAAGAATCTGTCTCAAAAACAAACGAAGAAGAATTATGATTAATTATTTTATTATATATTTATTCAGCCATCACAGCTTTATTAGAATTCCCACTAAAATCAAATGCATTTTATATTAGAAGCATGACACACAATGTTGGGCATTGTTAAGAATAAAGACACTTTTTAAAAATAT